TGCAGAAAATTTGGGAAGTTAGTAAACAGATGCAACAAGTGCAAAAAGACAACACATCATGGGGATTCACTGATACTGTTTCTTGGTTAACCTCTTGGTTCCCGAACCTAGCTACTTGGTTAAAGAAAGTTTTAGAAATCTTATTCTTTGTTGTAATAATCGTTGTTTGTCTGTTTGTGATTTTTCAATGTATACTAACTTGTTTAATGACAATCACTAAAAAGTGTCAAAAAGAAGTTTGGAAATATAGTAATTAGTAATTGCAGGGATGCAATAAAAACAAAAGGAGGGAATGTTAGAGATTGATTATAAAGATTGATTATAGAATAGAATAAAATCATAGAACTAGAACGTAGATTCAGCTGTGTAAACACAGCTGTGTTAAGAAACCATACAATGTGTATGTGTGCAATTGGGATAGAAATTAATTGTATGGATTGTATCAAACAGAATTCACAAAAGAAGCCGAGACGACCCTGAAACCAAGCAAGGCCTGAAACCAGCAAGGGAGAATTCTACGAAGACAGAAGAATAGAAAGAACTTATTAAATGATGTACTTAAAGGAATGGAACGGTTGCTTAGAAACTTATGCAGATTCTAGACTTGATGTAATTGGTTTAATAAATGTATATAAACTGGTCTAGCGAGTTAAGCTTTGCCACTCACTGAGGTGATGGCCCAACTCTGAGTTGTGAATAAAGCAATACCTAGTGTAACCCATTCGTGTGAGGATAAAATTTTTAACAAGAGGTGAGGGGGGTGTGTGTGGGGAATTTAAGAAACACTCCAGCAAATCAGTAGAGAATACACAATTATTCAAAAGCCTTGATTGCCTCCTGAGCTTCTGTATTAGCACAACCATTCTGCATTTCAGTATTGAGAATTTATTCTGACTTAACCCTGTGGAAAACCTTCAATGATTATTTGAACAAAAGTTTAAATATGAAGTTATGTTCTGCTTTTTCTCAGTGTTAAAAACATAAGTAGTGTTGAAAGTATTCTGGGTATCACAGTGACAGAATTGTCATCGAAACCTTTCATTTTGGTGTCTTGTTTCCATGTCTTTAAGATTGTGGTTGGGTGAAGTGCATTTGCATTTGATTTCCTCACCCCCATTAAACAGTCAGAATGTGTGCACATGTATGCTTGTATTTTGTATATAAATATGTATATATTTGGTGGTGCAGAGACACACAGACACAATTTAGGGTATAAACAAAATTGTGGTGCATTCTGTTGATGTGTGACCTTGAAATCTCAGTGATTACCTTTCTATCTTCAGCTGAGTATTCAGTGCTACCCACTATAGAATGACGTGTGACAGCTACTTGCTTAATTATCACTTTTGCAACTGCCTCTTGATCAATGTGTATAAAGCGTCTTAGTGATGTGTGTTTGCCGATCAACTTTTTAGCAAAGACACAAAAGGTAGTACAACTGAGGCCTGATGTTGGTGGGTTGAATGACTCAGATTAAATTTTGGTCTTTCAAAAACACAAAACCAAATATACTTTCCTCTTCCATATCAAGAGAGGACAATGCTAAGCACTATTCTGCACAGTCATTCCCAACAGATGTGAGCAAGTCTGGAAAGACTGGGCCGATGAAAGCACTCTTGAATTCTTTTGTCCAAATTCTAGCTGGGAATGAACAAGTATAGTCTGTACGCCATGCTCCTGAATACCTCTAGCTTTGTAAAAAAAAATCTGTGAAGAAATAAATTAATAAATTCCTTGAACGTGGATCTCTGCTGAAGACTGTACAGCCCAGCTCCAGAAGTATTACCTAGGGATCTCTACTGTATTGCAATACAAGCCAAACCTTAATATCTTCTCCTTGAAGACATGAAGGTGTTCTTTCTCTGCATGATTGTGCTCGCATGGTCAGCACCTTGTTGCTGGTGCCTTGCCCTACATGCAGGTGTGTGCGAAGACACATAGTGGAATCCTTCTAGCCTTGAGAAACCGCTGTAGGTGATATCCTGATTGACAGGAACAATTTGGCTAAACAGCTGCGGAAATAGAGGAAAATAAGTACATGTTCTCCATAAATATCTGAAGTACAGTAGGAGGAAAGCTTACAGTTACCTGAAATTTGCTTTTTTGTTCAATTGTCAGGATATCCTTATCAGGTAAGTAGATACAACTCTGTTACTTTTCAAGAAAAACTCATCAAAATATATTAGGAGCAGTTCTATAGCAGCAGGAGGAAGAGGGAGATGACTGGATCTTTCTGGTTGTCTTCATCTCTGACCACACCTGGGTGAGGAGGAATACATCTTACGCTGCTTTCCAAGTGACTTCTGGAACAGTGTTCTTTGCTCTCAAGTGCTAGCTTTTCCACTTTAAAACAATCTTTTTAACAAACCTATTGCAAAGGCAGATTTGGGAAATTTTTTGATCATTTGAGGCAACTGATGATTGAATAATATTATATAGTGTTCCAAAAAGTGAAGATTAATTTTACTTTTCATTCAGTAGGGTGATTTTTTTGTCTTTACAGTATGAGGCAATGTTGCTATATCTATATAGTTCCTGTGTAACTGAAAATGAAAGTGGTGATGAGACAGCTCATGACTAAGAGAGTGCATACCTAGCAGAAGATGGCTATGTCCTTCAGCTACGCTTGTTCTGCTCTGTTTTTCTCTCTCTTCCAAGAGAAAAGATGTGTCAAGATCTGTTCTGAGACCGTAGGGTCTCAGAAAGTGCACAATAATGTCTCTGCTTATGTACATTCACAATATTTACTATACCATTTTAGTAGGCTTAGCCACAGATTTAAACCCATTTCCCTTTTTCTGTTGTCACACAAATGTCTACTCCATGATACAAAACAAAGGTAAAGGCCTATTATAATGCATCTATTTTACATATAGCAGAATTGCTGTAGTATAAAGTAATGTTTTGAGTCTGGATATATGGGGGTTCCCCCCACACTGTTTATTTTGATGATTCCACTGTAGTTACTAGAATTGTACTGGGATCAAAGTTAAACCCACACTTACCACTGAGGGATTCCCGGTAATGCTGTTCTGTTTTTGAGAAGCTGAAGAAAACTGTTCCTCAGCACAGGCACCATGGGAGGTATGACCGGATAGCACCAAATGTAGCTTGGTGAGATGACAGGACTCACTTAAGTGGTGGGGCGTATTTTTTTCACTTAAATGTTGAATGTGAGCACACTGCTGCAATGGAATCAGGAATAACTACAGTCTTCTTTGGGCAAATGCTAGACATACAGTATTCTTTTTGGTATGAAATAAAACAGTTCAGAGCTCAGCTCCTTCCTTTCACTTTTATCAAGTCTTTGCCAGGTATCTCCCTCTAGTGCTCATAAAAAAAAAAACCCAAACAAACAAAAAAGAACAAAAAAATCCCACCCAAAACACAAAAACCCTACACAAAAGAGAAAGTGACTGCTCAGAGTGCAGTAGGCCTGTAGAGACTGGTTGGACAGTTTGTTTTCCCATTATGGCTGCAACTTCATGCACTGAAGTCTTGGTACCTTTGCTGAGAGGAAGCTTAGTTTATCTCCTACTACTCTGTACAAGTTCTGTGCTTTTTTTCTGTCTGAGCATGCAGTTTCCTCCTCATTCATCTAGAAAGTCTGTGAAAAACAAGTCCAGTTGGTTAGTGGTAGAACTTGGGAATGCTCAAAGTGACTCTGCATGCCGTGTGCTGAGCCCTCTCCCATCTGGACACTGCACATGCTCCAGGGGGCAGGAGGCTTGGCTCGCCTGTGTAGCAGCCTCCTGTTATCTCTACAGGGTGAAATTAAAGCTGCTTTATCTTGTCTAGCTGTGGTACCCTGACACTCTGGTCACTTTCAGGGTTCCAATTTCAATGGGAGTTTTCACTCAAACAGGCTTGAGGGACCTCTTGAGTCAGTCAATATGCAAATGTTAAGCCCATCTTCACTGGCTGTTACTGTTCTCCTATTGCTGGCTCAGTGTTTTCTTCTCTCGGAAGCAGATGTATGGTAACTATATATACAGCAGAAGGCCGGACACATATAATCAACGTGCCACGTGACTTATTAAACAGTCATAAAGAACAATACTGCTAGCTGGTCTGGAATGTGAAGCCAGTCTGTAAAAGACAGTTTGGCACATAACCAGCTCCAAAAGAGGTTATGACTGTTACTTAAGGTAACAAACAACAGAATAAAAAGAACGATTAGAGTAATAAAAGAGAGGGAATTTACATGCAAATAAAAGCAGCTGGAAATAAAGAGGCCAGTAATCGTAGTGTTCTGGTTTACCTCATGAGACAGTTTCTTCCTCTCCTTATTCCAGTCTTACCTGAGATAAAGTGATATGGCTTTGCATTCACACCTCCTTAAAGCTAGGGAGAAGGGCAGTGAAATCGTATTCCTTGCTGTGGTGCGTGGATGGAGCCGTTTTTTTTTATCCAAGTCTGTGGTAGCCAGGGAACAGTGCATTTAAAAACAAAAGTTGTAACAGCTATGAACAATTGGAAGGAAAGTGCAGTCATTGAAGTGGAGACCAACCCACTAAAAAATGTCAGGGGGGGTCTTTTTTGTATTTTTCTTCCAGTAGCTGCTGCTTTTCTCTTGCAGGGTTTTGTGGTTTGTGTTTTTTTTCTTTTTCTTTTTCTTCTTTTAATTAATTCTCTTCCCTGACTCACTTGAGCCCCAGGCTTCTCTCTGTCATTTTACTTTACTAGTACTGGTGAGGAAAGGTACGTGGGTGCATAATACACACCTATACACCTCCACACACCACGCCACATCAACCCCAGCTCCCCCCCATATTTACACACTAGTAGCTGTAGGGGCTGAGCCAGGCTTCCCTGGAGGGAGAAAGGAGAAAAATCCTCCCTCGCTGTAGCTACTAGTGTGCAGGCAGGACTTCTTACCACAAGTCTGGAGAACACTGATACTCAGCAACAACTTGCCAAGAACAGGCTTGCGTTAATGAAAACAAAGAAACCAGCATTTCACTTCCAAATGGATTTCCATGGAGACAGCTAGATAGTAATAGTGTTTGGACTTTTTTATTCAATAAAAGTTTGAGTTATAAATATTCTCCATTTGTTTCCTATTTACAGTTGTAAAATATTTTAGGATAGCCTACCCGTCACCTGTCATTCAATGTCTATATAAATGCCAAGAAAACATCATTGCGAAATAAAAACGTCTTATTTTCAGCCCACAAACCCAATTTCCACACTCTCACAAAATAAAATCAAAGGGACCAAAAAGAGGAGAGAAGGAACCGGGGGGGTGGTGGATGAGAGGAATACAGTACAGCAGGCAACAATGCAGTATTTGCTACACAGTAGCAAAAGAAATGGATAAAAAATTTAGTCTGCTATGATGACAAGCTTTTCAGGACATTTGTTATAGCCCAGCGTTGTCCAGTGCATTTCTGAAGGACGAGTTGAAATCCAAATTCATTTTCATTGTTTTCCTGCAATTCCAGGCAACGCTTGGATTTTCGGTTCTGGATTGGACCTCCCTTTAAAGATGGGGAAAAACAAGAAGTGTTTCGATTAAACATTGTGAACTTGTTGCATTGCTACTGTGTGATAATATCGATCCAAGAAGATTCCATTTCCATCTACTAAAGTCCACTGCTACTGTGAAAAATATTTGTTACAGACAAGCTAAGCACTAGATTGGCTTTGGAGTGAAGGTTCTTTTTGTCACAGGCTGGTTTAATCTCTGATGCAGTTTAGACTAGCCTGAATTGCCTGGTTACCATTTCAGCAAATGGGGTTTCTAGAATCGAGCTGTGTTTCTGGCCATGCTTTCTAACCAAAGCTTTCCTGTTTCCTTCAGTTACCTAGCTTAGTGGCTCTGCTGCACCTCTGAAACATCAAAAAATGGCAAAAGAGGATCACTGCCTTGGCCAGGTGTGTTCTGTATGTAGAATAAAATGCAAAAAATTGTTTATTCTTTGAATTATGAAATGAACTTTTAGAATCTTATGTTGCTAATTGACTGTCTCTTCAATTCTGTGCTTAATACTGCCATATCAAAGCCCAGCAGTGGTACTCAACAGGTACTTCACTGTTGAGTTGCAGCAAATCTTAAATCACTGGGGCGGCTATCACACAGTTTACTATAGACCTAAATTACAATTAAATCATCATGTAGGTGACTTAAATTACATTTTTTTTCTTTAATTTTGGTTTCAGTTGGTTCTTTCACTCTGTCTCCTGTCTAATAAAGATAATAGATAACTTGTACACGTTAGTGTTTGGGAAGTTTCTTCCAAGATATAGAGAGTAGAGTAATTCTCACTGAAGTCTCTCTCGAGAGTATCTTGGACTTGTGTAGTAGAGAATCACTGGCTTAATATACAAATCAAAGAACGGAGTGTAAGTCAGTGCAGATTAGTAGAGCTGAAGTATGGAAAGAGCAGCCACATTTAAACTACTTTTTTGTACAATGGGGAAAAAATAGTTGCTATAAAAAAAACAACAGAAAAACCAGCCCCACAGAAAAATCCTACGTCACCAGTTTTGTTCAAGTCTCTTATATCTTGCATTAGAAAGTCATAACTGTGATAGATTACAAGGATATTGGCATAAATCCCACAAAAATGCTGTTTGCTTTTTCAGAGAAGACTGCTCCTCAGGCAAGCATAGCTTGTGCCATTTAGTACAGGTTCTGCTTCGTTCAGACAGGTGACTGGGGGGTCTCCTGTCCTACCACTAGAACTTAGAAGGCACTGCTCAGAGAAACTACTTTCTAAAATCATTTTGGGACTAATGAAATGCAGAATTAGGTATGAAAGCTCTAAATATGGCTTTGCATAAGAGAGAGACCATTTTAGAATAATCCACAAAAATCAAAACATGAGGCTCCCATAAACCCTCCTTGGTAGGCCTACATGCGGTATAGCTATAATTTTCACTGATTCCTTTATTAGACAGACAGGCATATAGTAGGCATTTTAATATAACTTCATAATGAAATACTGAGCAAACTGTATTTTCCCACTGCTGTATAACTATTATTGACATTCATATTAATAAAGGTGGTTAAATTTGCGTGTCTGGTGGGAACACAAAGTCTATGCTAACTATAAGCAATAAAACTGCTTGACATACAAGAAATGTGAAGAAACTAGGATGGAAAATTAGTCAAAGCTTTATTGTATGCTATTTGTTTCCTTATCCTAAACACACCCTGACCCCTCTCCCCCACCCCAACCCCAGTCACTTTGGCCTTCTGAAGCTCATTGTGGTGAGACTTTTTTTCCCCCCCCAAAAAAATTAAATGAGCTTTGAATTGGGTCCTTCAGATATAAAACTCTAAGGTAACGGATATTTTCTCACTGCCAAAAGAAACAGTTGTGTTGTTTTTTTTTTCTTTTAGCAAAAACATACAGTTTCTGTTCTTGATGAAAACTGTTGATTGTGGTTTCTGTCTGCATAGACTCAGTGTTGAATGGCACCCAGGGTCAGCTCCCTGGGATTGGATTGGGAATTGGGGATTACAGTTTAACACAAGTATTTCTGCCTAAACCCAAAATGGAGATCAACTTCCTTGTGCGTCCAACTGATGCTGGAGGTGCCTGTTTCTGTCATTTATGTTAACTAGGTCTGTATCTTTCATTTCTCAGTTAGTCCTTGTCTCAGTTTTGGTGTCTAAGACATCCTCAGTTCAGATCTTGCACTAAAGAAGCAGGAAAAAGAAGTCCCACTTTCTGTCTTGTCAGAAAACTAATCAGTTATGGGAGACTAGTTCAGCTCCATTACTTGCCTGATTTTTGGAGCTGGGATCTGAATCTGGGTATGGTACTTTTAGACCTCTCCTATCATTTCTAACTTATTAGCATAAGCGCAGGAACAGAATCAATTCTCTCCGTTTTATGTCAAGCGTGAGAGCTAAAACATAAATGTTTCCCTGGTTCAACTCTTGGCTCCTCTCTGCCCAAATTCTGTGAAATGAACTCTGTGGTGTCCATCTTGAGAACAGCTTTTATGCTCATGAAGAAGGATAAGCTAGGATGCTCAGGTCTAGCTGGCTTCAGCAGCTGGGCTGGGACAGACAGTTTGTTGGCTGCACTTTGTGAATCCCATTCTTAGGTGCCTATTTTTTCTCCCCAGGGACTGTGTATGGGGCCTAGTCACCTAATCCAGAGCTCTGTTAGGTAGAGGAAGCCACAGCACTAAGGCTTAAATACCGCCATGCTGTATTCTGCCTAACTCCCATTTGTTTAAACGGCCAAGGGTTTCATTCACTCGAATGAGCCTAAATGCCTTCTATTCCCATTGAGGATATCAGGGTAGAGAAAGGAGGATGTTCACAGTGGAGGCAACGTTTTTCCTCTGTTCTAAATCATGTAAAGCACACATAGGTGTTACAGTAAATATTAATACATTTTAATACAGCTACATAAACAAAGTGTAAACTACTCCTAAGCAAAAGCAAAACAAGCAAGCAACCAAAAAAACCACATAAAAAGCCTACACCCCCCCCCTTTTCCTGATGTGCCCTCATGTGAAATCCGGCTTCAGTTTAACAGAAACAAGTGACTCAGGAGAGAAAAAGCTGAGGAAGCCCTTTTTGATGTGCTGCAAAGCTCTCTGCAGTGGCTACTCACAATCACCCTGCTGAGTACATTGCAGCGCGCTGTATGGAACACAAAAGAGACACCAAAGTTAAGTAGTGGCTAATATGTGTGAATTGAGAGTTGCAGAGACCAAGGGATGCTTTTAGCAGGATTTTTTTTAACCACAAAAAAGAAGCATACAGGCTGAAGTTCTGTTAGACGCAGAACAGCTCAGCTCCTAAGAGATGTGAGGTCTGTACAGAACCATGGTTTCATCCCTCGGAGATGATGCAGTCTGCACAGCTTTTGTTCCTTTCAGTAAGCATATAGATGAAAGAATTGCTCTGAATTGCAGTCAGAAGGTTTTCTATATTGCTTACTTAATTGTGTTCATTTTTTCCCCCTTCGTATGCCTAATGCAAGCCTGCGACAGTGGTATTGGGCTATTATCTCTATGGTGATGGCAGTGCACCCACTTTAAGTCGCAAAGCCTGAACTAGTGATCTGTTTGATCATTAAAGCCCACTAACTGAGTAACGCCATTGAAAGAAGCGAGCAAGCAGGATGGACGTGCTGAAAGTTAACACTACATTTTGCTGCTCTGGCTGGCTTGGCCTCCAAATTACTGTATTACTGAATGGTTCCTGCAGTCTGTCATCATCATTAGCATTTGGAACCCTAAAGACGAATGCAGACAAAGATGTCCTTTTAGTTAATTCACTTTTCATAATCATTTAGTAAAACTTGTATAAAACTCTGACAGTCATGTTTACCGCTCACTCAGCAATATGGTTTATTGTAATACTGCACTTTAGGCTAAATGAAAGGCAAGTTGCCTGTCTGGTTCCCTTTCCCTATCCTAGGTAAGACCTCTACTTTCCAATTTAAAAGCAAAAAAAATGATAGCTGAGGGTAAAGTCTTTAAGCATGATACATAAAATATAAATATCCAGGTCAACTATTTTATAAAAATAGACTGAACATGACAGCACTAACATGTTTGACTGAAAACTTGATGGGTTTTGCATTGCAAATTGAAGCAATTCCTGTGAGAAGCAGAAATGCTCTCTACTCCTGCTGGTAGCTCTGGACACATATCAAACCGATTTAGTGCTTCATAAGCATCCTTTTAATGTAAACACCATCTCAAGTCACGCATCCTGCTATGACCAGTTGCTGTTGGAATGTGCCATAACACACACAACGGAAAGCAATACTTTTGTCTTCCTTTAGCATTATTGTACTTTCTGCATACGTGCCGTACATAAGAGGTTTCCTTTCAAGTCTTTCACTAAAGCAGAATTTATCCAATAATATGGCATCTAAGAATACTATTTAATGTGCCTACAAACTATTGCACTACACGGACGGTCCAACATGCTTGGTAGGCAATCCCACGTGAGTCTGTAGCACGTAAAAAACAACTTGCTTTTAGAAAGAGCAGCAATTTCCAAGTATATACTTACATATTCTAGGTTAAAGCTGGAGTGCTAATATCCTGTGCAAAGTCTTTGCTGAACTGTTCTATGGTTTTTATTCTGGTTTATTGTGTGCTGGTCGACTCACAGTTCCCAACTTGCCCGCCCTTCCCTTTCTTCTGTGGGATGGGTCCTCTCTCCTGTCCTTGCAGAACAAGGCTTAGTTGAAAGCTGTCATAAAGTTTCTCTAACGCCTAGCAGGCCTCCTATCCAGAGGGCTACAAATGGGACAAAGCATTGGTACAGCTTTCTTCACAAATACCAGAGATGGTAAATATTATTTTTTTGTAAAGAAACATGTACAGTGTGCACTTACCATGTAACGTGGAACTCCTGCCCCTGCTACTGCAGAACTGAGGTTATATACCCTGTTGTGCTCCCTCAGATAAACAAAGCATGTTCTGACGTCATGACGAAAGACAGAGCAAGATGTTTCTGTAAACATATACCTAGGCATAAACTTTTTAACAGCTC